GTTTCCACTCCAGAGACAATAGGGTCCAGGGGAGAGACCTCTCCCACTTTCAAAGCCTTCCTAAAATCCCACTGAAAAGCAGAGAACGTCAGTCTATCCTTTCCCTAAACCACCCATATAAGATTTAGCAATCATGAGAAGAGGAAAATACTAGAGGGAGCGCCCATCAGCGTCACAGACAAGACTGGCAGGACTTAAGAGCTGAAACAGATGGAGGACTGTGGTTTCGATGGTGGCGAGCTCTGATCTCCACTTCAGGTTCCCGTTCTTGATGCGAGGAAACCAGGCTAACCTTAAAAGGAACCTCTTTCCAGCGGCGCCTGTGAGACACCATTTTTATCAAGGTCGAGGGTGTCCACCCTTCTCCTTGCTGACCCAAGTTAATCTGGTGGTGTATTTACCAAGGGACATGGGTGGGACCACACCCTTATCCAGAATCTTCACCAACAATACCCTGCAGTCTGTATCACACCAAAGCAAACATCGCCTCCTTGGATCTTCACAATTAACCCAGGCAGCCGACAGCGCATTGGCGCCCCTCTTACAAGTGAGCAAACAGGTGGAACCACTTGCATCCGGTCACAGTGGACTAGGCCCGGACCCAGTTAGACCCAGACCTCTGGCTCTCCACCAGCACAGTGGCCACAGTCGTCCTGGGCGGTTCCAGATGCAGCCGTCGGGGGAGGACCGCTGCGAGACCCATGTCTTGTACCTGCCTCGATGTCCCTTCCCATTTCTGTGACTCTGCACTGACTCAATCCTGTTTCAGAACGACAAAACAGCCCTGTGCCTTTAGGCAGCACTCTCAGGACAGAGTTGTGGATGGGGTGGTCTCCTGAGGCATTGTTTTCTCACATACAAACCACACTACTGAGCCACATGGCGGTGAGGGTTCAGAGAGTAACTAGACGCGCTCCCCATGGCTGGCCCCGTGGCTTTTTCTCAGCTGTCAGATCTTGGCCTACACGTCACTGGCTCCGGATTCTCCTGGCCATGCCAAGTAGATCCCCCCTCACTCCATTTACTGCCGTATTACACTGCTTTTTCCTTCACCCAACTTAAAATGAAAGAGACACTTTGTTCTGATTACTGCTGCATCGCTAGCACCTAGCACGCAGTAGGCACTCAGATATTTAACCAAATGGAGGGACAGAATGGCTCTCACCAGATGTCCCTTACTATCTTGCAAATGGATTACAAATGTCGGTAACTGTTGAAGCTGAGTGTTAAGTATCTGGGAACTTCCTTCTAGTCTCTTGGTGTGTGTGAGAGAGAGATTTCATAGTATGTTTCAATAATGCAAACTTGCTTATCCCAGGATTTAAGAAGGCAGAACAGGCCTGAGTAGCAGACTTTAGTGGGGGCCCCCAGGAAGGTCTCTCTCTCCCTCCTACTGAGAAAGAGCAAGGCCTGCCATTGGCCACCGCGGTCCTTTAGCTGAAGGGCAGTAAGGCTGCGTGTGCAGCTGAGGGAGAGAAGCAGGAAGTCCTGGAACAGCTTTCCCCGTTCCTGAGACTGACAATGGAGAGTCGTTCCGAACAAGGTCTTTCCCGTACTGTTTGTTGGGACAACAGTAGGAGGCATTATTATCCCCATGCTTATTATATTTTTTCTCTCATTCAAAGCCTAATCCAAATGCTTTGAGTCAGACAGAAATAAGATTCAAACCCGAACGCCAGCGAACCAAATCTCCATTTCCTCAGGAGAATACCACCCGCCTACCTCGTGGGATTTAGAGGGAAACATAAAAAACGGGAGGGCACTTCATCTCACGCCAGACGCCGTGGCTGCTAGCTCCCTTGCTCCTGGGCAGCACGGGCTGTGTCTTTTATAATCCCAAGCACCTCCATCTAGCACAGAGCCTACGTACCTAATTAATTATTTGCTAAATTATAGAGACAAAAGGTTCACAAAAAGCCAACAGCAAGTGGCAGAACAGGCCCTCAGATCAACACTTCCACAAGGAGCCAAGTGTTTTCAGCAACACCAGGTTGCCTCCTCGGCGGTCAGAAAACTTTGCTCTCCCACTGGCAGTTTACTATGAGCTTGTGATAGGAGTTAGACCCCACTTACAGGTAGCTAGGTCAGGGTGCCTACAGGAAGTCACTGTGATTCTTTTTAATAAAGTCTCTGTTTTCCCTCTATGGTCTGGTTAACGTACATTATACAACCCTTTTACAGGTCTCTAAAGAATTTATGACTCCTTGCTAAAAAGGTAGGAGATAGGGATCCTGAACACACAGACAGGGTAAAGACCCAATGTGGAGTCACAGTATCTGTTTTCACTGCCAAAAGCTCAAAGCCACTGTAGCTAAGGGCAACTGTTTCTATTTAGTTACTATCTTCTACCAAAAAGTATAAAATACTATAGTCTGCTGACCCCACAAAGAATAGTGAAATGAGTCAGACTACCATGTAACTATTTTCAAAAGCCCACTTCCTTATCAAAATGCCAGCCCATTGCTTGGACTGCTAATATAAACCCCCGCACCTCCAGCTCCTCTTCAGCAAGCCATTCCGGCCCCCTCTCACTATATGGGTAGCTTGTTCTCCTTTCCTAATAAACTCAGCTTTACTCTCTTCTCTGTCTGCGTCTCTAATTCTTCATGAGTGTAAGACGAGAACCCGCACAGGAGTTAGGTTAGATCACCCAACACTCCTGCTTCATTTGGACCCAGCTACATAAATTAATTCAACGTAAGCAAACAAAACACTTTTTTATTTCATCCTTCACAGGCTTCCTCCCACTTTCTTTCCCTCTCTCATCTAAGATCCTTGCCCTGGGAAGTGCTGTTTTTCCCTACAGGAGAAACCCATTTCTCATATTTGTTAAAATGGTTTAAATGAACTGTAGTTATACAGTCGTGTAGCTCCTAAACTGTAAACTGCCAGCTCAGACCTGCAACCCCAGGCAGGACGGCAGGCCCACACAGCTGGCACACAGCTCCCGGCTCTGGTATCCGGCCAGGGTTCGCTGGCCAGCTTGCTGAGGCTCCAAAACCAGGGAACAGGCCTCTATGACCTCCCAAGTATTTTCCAGCCATCATAACAAAAGTGTTTTGAAGCCCAAGATGAAAGGATGTGATCAAAGAGGCCAAAGGTATAGGCTGCTAAGAGAAGCAAACAGAGATGGTTTCCATGTGATAGGGGACAGGAAATGTGTGGGCAGGAGGTGCTCAGGGCTGGGCTTCCCACCACTGCAAAGAATGGCAAGGAACAGACTAGGTACAGTGGTTGTGGTAAATGACTTCCGGCCCCACAAAAGAGCACAGAAAATAAAAATAAACCACGCTACAGAGGTGCTGAACTAAAGGCAGCAGGAAATCCTAAGCTGTACCTCACTCTCTATACAGTAGTACTCAAAATCAACTCAGTTAATGCATTTCAGCTTTAAAAAAATTAAAAATCAGAAATTCCAATTTGGAGGTGGGTGGGTGAAGCATTTCTTTAACCTTTAAGGAATAGCTCTATAGATAGTTCTATGCATATGGAGTTGAAAACATATAGCAAGAGAAACCTAAAAACAAGCCACCTAAAAATGAGCCTTTCACTAAATTTAAACCCAAAAGCACTGTGTAGGTTTTTGCTCTGTTGGAAATGGCAAAAAGACACACCAAAGATAAAAGTCCCCTGTTGATGGGAACTGGCATGGGTAAACCACAACCAAGTAAACAATGGCTAACCTGATATATGGGAACTTAATAGCTATCCCTTGTATCTAAAGACAAATTACAAGAAATTTAAAATGCTATACATCAAAGGCTCTGAACACTGTTATGTCTTCCTCGATGAAACTATTACTATTATTGTGTTTTCAACCCCTTTGTCTTGAAGTCCAGATGCTTTTCTTATTCAAAATAATCTTTTATTCAGTCTAGACTAAAAAATAACTCAGAAGCCTCCTAATAAAACTATGTGATGTTAGCATAAGCAAATTAAGCTGCCCAAGCATAATCTTAGTGAACCAGTACTCCTAGGAGTGGTAAACAAGGCCCATGGACCAAAAATAAGTTTTTGGAAAATTACATTGGAAAATAACCGTACCCATTCATTTAAGAAAAAGCTTTGTTGACTCCTGATCTAAAGTTGTTCTCCAAGTTCAGTGTGTATCCATTAGGTAGAGAGCTAATCATTGAGAGACCCAAGCTTTTTACCAGGCTCCCAGGTGATTGTGAGGTACACCAAAATTTGAAAATCATTGCTCTTTATCAGTGCTACTTAAACTTTCAAGTGCACACGAATCTCCTTCTCAAATGAGCTCCTAGATGGCAATACTGCTGGTCATTCAAATAGTGAGGAGGCAGAGCAGCACTCCTCCAACTTGGCTGCACACCAGAATAACCTGACAGCTTTACAAACTACACGTGAGACCCTACTCTCTAGCCCCCAAGATGGAAACAGAGCTGCTGATACCTGTGAGTATGCCCAGACTTCAACCAGCTGACCTGTGCTGTACCCAAGCCTTGTCATGAGCTCTGATCTTAGCCAAGTCACAAATCTGAGCCGCAATCTCCTCGCCTATCTGATGAGGACTGGAGCCCCTGAGAACAGCAAGAATAACAGGAGAATCTTAGGAGGTGCTCTGGATATACACACCCCCACACTTTTTGCACTCTGCTCACGTTATCTCCGAGATACACATTTCACTTTTCAACCCTAAACCATGTTGAAACAGATGTAAATGTGGAAGCATACACTTAGTTCAGTTTCTAACAAAGTGCTTAATGATGCAGTTCCAGGATATATTGTGTGGTAAGAGTGGAACTACCTGTAACAATTGAAGGATTAGTAAAGGATTACCTGCTCCAGAGAAAACAAAAGACTGCCATTTCACAAGGTTGTCAGCACTGCCTTATGTCATTAACTTCAAATACACTTAATAATAACAGGAGGTAGGTTCCCAGTAGCAAGTTTTTCACTAATAAAGAGCTTAGCACACAGGACTGAAGGGGAAAAGAGGATTTTGATACAAAAATTTAAAAAAACAGCCAGAGGCATAGGAAGGAGTGGCATGGAGATTTTAATTTGGAAGAAAAAGGTTACACTTAATAGAAGGCAGAGGTCATGTTAGCAGACGTTCATTACAAAGTTGTTCTGACACGGAGTGAGGGAATTCCTCTGGGCGCTCCACCAGCATACCAAATCAGGGTGGGTAGTAGGTACCAATCTGAAGAAAATCCATGTGTCCAATAAGCTGCCATATCTCAAGAACTCTCATCCAGGGGAAATCAAAAAGTGAACCTAAAAGAAAGAACCAGAAAAGTAAAATGTCTTATGATACTGCAGATAGGGCCCCAAATCCTTTCATCTAAACCTTAAACAAGGACAGTAGGGGGTTCCTAAACTCAGGACTGTAAGCTGAGCTAGAATAACCACATGAAGCAAATCTTTTTCTCAGCACATTTTATGAAAATAGTATCCATAAAAATTAATGTTCAAACCTGAATTCTGAGCACACTAAGGCAAAACTGACTACAAATGGGGTTCTAACTCCAGCTCTCTCATCAGCTACATAACTTTATATCGGTCACTCTCACTCCCTGGCCCACTAATTCTTTGAGGTGAGACTGCATTTAAGTTTGAAGATCTTTTCTAGAGCTAGAACGTTTATAAAGCACTGATTTACAGTTTTTTGTTTTGTTTTAGGTTTTTGCTATAGGGCATGAGCATTCACTGGAGAGAGACAGAAACAGTGGGAGAAAAAGTGAGAACACCCCCACAGTGGGGATGGCCACACTGCAATCCCTTACCCTCCACTCTCCTCCTGGGATTATGGGCGCACGCGCGTACATGCTCCCAGCATGGTTTTCAAGCCTCCAGGTACAGGACTCAAACCATAGTCAGCCATGTGGGAGACCAGCACCTTAACCACCATGCCACGTGCTGCCCCCCACCCCGATTTCCAGTTTTTTGTTTGTTTGTTTTTGGGGGGTTTTTGGAGAGGTTTTTCGCTATAGGGCGCGTGCGCTCACCAGACAGACAAGAGAGAGACATAGAGACAGAAAGCGAGAAATCACCCCCCAGGGGGGATGGTCACGCCGCAATCCCTTCTCCTCCATTCTCCTCTCGGGATCTTGGGCACACACGCACACGCACCCAGCGTGAGTTTTAAGCCACCAGGTCCGGGACGTGAACCGCGGTCAACTACGTGGGAGTCCAGCGACATAGCCATTACGCTAACTGCTGGTTCCCCCAATTTCCAGTTTTGTAGAAATAGAGAGAAGGATTCAAGACAGTAGAGAAAACTTGCCAAGCTCAGACTGAACAAAAGACCAAAAGAGAAGAAACGATTAGTTTCCACTTTAGATAAGGTTATTTTTGGCAAAGAGAGGGTGGAAAATAACTTCAGAAATGGCTGAACTGCTTGCTGCCAGAGCCAGATGGTACTAGGATCTGTAGGTTGTCAGATGGCGCTCTCCCTCCAAAACACGGGCAACCTTTCGAGACCTAGAAGTAGAGCTTCCCACCTGGTAGATGCCTACATGGGTACGGCCAGAAATTGACCTGTTGGCCCTCAGGGTTCCAAAGTCTCTCACCATAAGCAGCCAATTTTCCCACAGTTTGCCATAAAAATACTGTAATTTTCTATGTATGCCGTAACTTGAAGAAAGTTATGACCTTATTCTGTGTATTGATTCTAACATCAGAGCTTAAAGGAAACGTTTTTAACTTCTAGCTAGAATGCTTTTTCCCTCACTAATGATGGTATTTAGACAAATGCTACCTAGTTGTAAAGCACTCCTCTATCATTGGAACTGTTACAAATGTAAAAGAAATAGCAAAAACAGGGAGTAAAATATATTCATAGTGCCAAACGAGAACAAACATTAAAACTCAAATACTCATTCCACCAAATTCCTTAAAGCAAAGTCTCTGGTAATAGAATATGAACCTCAGTTCTAACGGCCAAGGTGAGAGCAAGCTAGAGCAAAAGGCCATGTCTGTGAACAACACCTTCACACGTTTAGATTTTTTAAATCCTAGTTTAGTCCAAAGTCAAATATCAAGGCCCTACGCTATTAAGACATTTAAGTCTAAGGCAGTGAAGCTGAACCATATAGAAGGTAAAAAGGACTCCTAAAAACAAATCTCTTTGATAGTGGTTTTCGGCAAATCCTGTTTACAAAAATCTGCTCCCTGTTTTAAGGCAAAGATATATTTTACCGGACACTATTCTGAAAGCAGAGGTTCTAGGATTTTTTTGAAATGTTAGCTCAACAAAATTAGATTATTCAATAGCTCAGAAGAATGGTTTCAACTGTTAACCAGGGGATAAAGGTTTTGAAAAACTCATAAAATCTCCTCCCCTGATATAGAGACATGCAAAATGGAAGACCCCTACTGAGAAAAGTTAGCATGACTTATTCAGTCTATTTCCCCCACGCAGAAAAGACAGCGCCACTGGTCTGTTCTAATCATCTTAAAAGAAAACCAGGCACAACACAAAGAATTGCTAAAAATAATTACACTCTGTATAGTTAGAAAAGATAATGCCAGGCAGGGTCATTTCCATTTGGAATCTGCATTCTTCTCCAGTACCAACTCTATTCAGACGTATCTATCCACTGGATAGATATGCTCAAATACTGATTTTCCTTCATATCCATCTCATCCTGGATCCTGATCACCTGAATGAAACTGAAATTAGAGATAACGTGAATCAAGGTTCAGACTGCAGAAATTCCAGGTTCACAGCCTGATTTGAATCACTACAATTTTAGGAGATACTGATCATTATTTCTAAAAATGAAAGGCACTTTATGATCAGCTTGTCTAATCCTCTCATTTTAGAGATGAGGAAACTGTAACCTGAGATACGACAGATCTGTCCAAAGTTATACTCTCCAACTTCACAGCCACTAGCTACAAGTGACTACTTAAACTTAACAAAATTAAAACCAGGTCAGCCAAAGTAGCAGAGGGATAATGCAATGCTCCACAATGCTGAAGCCACGGGTATGTCCTAGGTTTGCACCTGAGGTCTCCATGTACATGTCAGGCACTCGTGTGTGGCCACATATCCAGGATGGCTGAGGCTGGAAGTGGACTGTGGCATAAAGACCCTGTTGGGGCTGTCTGTCTGTCTCACGAAGGAAACAAATGAATAAACTTTCAAAAATTCTATTCTAAAATCACTTAGCTGTATTTCAAATGTTCAGTGATATGTGGCTGCTAGTTACTACATGGGCAGTGCAGGCCCAGAATGTTTCCAAGCTGCCCAAGGTTCTGATCTGCATTTCTCTTGGACTACATTAAGAACGGATTTGCAGGGACCAGCAGTTAGTATAATGGCTATGTCGCTGGACTCCCATGTAGTCGACCATGATTTGCGTCCCGGACCCGGTGGCTTAAAACTCACGCCGGGCGTGTGTGTGTGCATGCCCAAGACCCCGAGAGGAGAATGGAGGAGAAGGGACTGCAGCGTGGTCATCCCCCCTGGGGGGTGATTCCTCGCTTTCTGTCTCTCTGTCTCTGTCTGTCTGGCAAGTACACGCGCCCTATGGCAAAAACCTCTCCAAAAGAAAACAAAATAGAAGAATGGATTTGCAGAAACATTTGAGATAGCCTGGCTTCATCCTTTCTTGTCAATCTCTCCTAAATGTTTCCTATTTAAAAAAGAAAAGCAGGACATCCCGGGATTTGGGTGGCTGGACCCCACATGGCCAACTATATAATTTGAGTCCCAGACCCAGAGGCTTGAGAAACACATCAGGCACATGTGTGTACACGCCCAAAGTCCCAAAAGGAAGGCAAGATAGAAATGGGATTGCAACACAACCATCCCCCATGGAGATTTTTTCTCATCCTCCCTCCCTCCCTCCCTCTCTCTCTCTCTCTCTCTCTCTCTGTCTCTCTCTCTCTCTGTCTCTCTCACCGTCTCTCTAGCCAGAGCACATGCCCGCTGGCAAAATTTTAAAAAAAGAAAAGAAAAGCAGGCCAACTCCATAGTCCAGCAGTTAAGCACTGTACAGAGGGAACCAGATCCCACATGGCTGACTGTAGTTCAAATCACAGCCCTGGAGGCTTGAAAACACACCAGGCATGTGCACATGTGCCCAGGATCCAAGAGGAGAAATGGAGGAAAAAGCACTCCAGCATGACTAGGCCCCACTGGAGAGTGCACATGCTTTCTTTCTCTCTCTGTGGCATGCACACATATGCCTTCTAGCAATTCTTTTTTTTAATTCTAAAAGGAAGTTTAATTTTTAAAAAATTTTGCCAGAGGGCACATGTACCCACCAGAGAGAGAAAAAGAACAGAGCAGAGGGAGAACGCACTCCCACAAAGGAAATGATCATGCAGTAATCCCTTCTCCTCATTTCTCCATCCTGTCAGAATCCTGGGCATGCATGCAAATAGTGTGGCACATTTCTCACGTCATCAGATCCAGGATTCAAACAATAGGGTGGGCCATGTGGGATCCAGCTGCCTTAAACCATCAGGTCGCAGAACTGGCCCACGAGTTTAATATTTTTAATGAAAACTTTCTAACACGTGGTTATATCATCATCCAAAGACCTTGAACATAATAAAGAGGAAGAATATAGAAGTGTGGAATTCAAATGCCTATTACCACATTCCTACTTAGTCACCTACTATTAGGTCATTGGGAAAGTCATGATGTGTTTTTCTATGCAAAAATGTATCATGACTTTCCCAACGACCCAACAGTTCCAAAGGCCTAGATCAATCAATTGAAATTTTACCAATGCTTAATTACTTCTGGTGCCAAACAGTGACACTACTACTTGTCTACTTCTATCATAGGATGAGTGGCAGGAATCACATGAATTACTTGTATGTAGAAATATATGTAGAATGCATGTGAATCCTGTAAGCCTGGTGATGTGATAACAGTAAAACATCATACAAACGCTTAGTTTTGTAAAAGAAATTATACAAATATTGTGCATCTTGCTATGAACAGTCACACTTTCAACTTTTTGCCTCCTGTGAATAAATGATGGAATCTGGAAACAGATTAAAAGGAACCACCAAAGAGGGAGGCAGACTCACCACAGGATCCGTAAGAATTATATAACCCTTTCAAACACAAAATAGGACCTTATGAGTTAGATTACTGAGAGGCTTTAATAACTTCAAGAGACTTTGGTGAATATCCAGGCCAAAAGGGAAACTGAGGCTTCGAGATAAGCTTATTTCTCCATTTAACTAGTTTTCAAAGCCAAGTCTGTAACTCAAGTTTCCTGACTTCTCATTTCATGCTCCTTCCTACCCCA